CGTGATTCCTTACGAAGGCATCATTGTCACCGACATGTCCGAAGAGCAGCAAATACTCATCATGGCTATTGTGCATGAGTTCTTGGCCCTATGGCCTGCTGAGCCACTCCGGCACCGTTTGAAGCAGATACTCAAGCACCTCAACGAAACGCATTTTTGTTGGATTGGCGGGTTCGGAGAAGATGACCCTTTCTATTACCGTATTCAGAGTCCGGTGGCACTCTTTGAGTTTGACCACCACTCGGGGGTCTTCCTGACCAACAAAGAGCCCGCCAAGTATCACATCCACACGATCCAGAGACTTCCGAATGGCAATGACTACGGGAGGGCACTGCGGGAACTGCTCCGACCTCGATAGGAAATGGACGATCTAGTATCATCGAGGTTTTTTCTTCCGAAGCGCACTTTGTTGGACGAATCTTGTAACATCTCCAGTTTTGAGTTTATTGAGTGCCGAGCGTAGGAATCACATCCTGTCTTGGCGTGGTGTTAGGTGCATGAGGATCGCCACGGCCCGCTCAAGGCAACCAAACGGATTATCTGATTGACTTAACCACCATTTGTACGTCACATGTCAGCCGCATAGCTGTGGATTCTCGAGGTGCAGTTTTCGTAATGTGCCAAGACGTTGTTATGGCGAAGCACTTGGCCCCGCGACCGTTGGCGGAGGTGATGCGCCGTGTTAGAGCCCGCCGTCTTGGCCCGCAGGGCTTCACGGCTCGGGATTCTGAGTCGGCGGTGATCGCCACAAGTGACATCAGCCTCCGGACAAGAATCAACGACAGCATTTTGAGAATCATGTCGATGGAATACCCTCGTGGAACGATGGGTTCTTGGGACTTCATCAGCCCCGTGCAGTTGCACTTTATTGCCCGAATAGCAACGGAGAATTGACTCTTAAGTCTTGCAGTTTTGTATCTTGCGTTCCAAACCTCAATGATATAAGAGACATGATGCGGCCAACGGCTTCAGGGAGGGATAATCAGTCTAGTCTCAAACCTTAACAATCCAGTCTCGGAGATTTATCATCCAGTCACAATCTTCCAACAACGTCAGCCCGTGTCACTGAGATGTTGGGTACAGTGCTCCCAAGCCGATCCCTCGGTGAGGAGACACCGACGGAGTTTGCCATCCTTTCACCAGCCCATGCCATTTTCTTCGTAGTAGTGGGCTTGCTGCTCTTTTTTCTCTACAGACAAGCTCTTCCCAAACCGATTCCTGGCATCCCTTACAACAAGGCTTCAGCGAAGAGCATACTTGGGGATGTTGCTTCACTGCAAGAGGGCATAGCCCGAACTGGCGCGTTCCAGATATGGCTTCACGAACAAGCGGCAAAGCACAACTCGCCCCTTTTCCAAATCTTCATCCGCCCTTTCGGAAAACCAATGCTCATTCTCTCTGATTTCAGAGAGGCCCAAGATGTGCTTTTGCGGCGGGGCAAGGAATTCGACAGAGCGAGCATCGTGGGTGACATGATCTCAGGGGCTGTGCCCAATCACCACATCATCATGAAGACGAACAGCGAGTGGAAGCACCACCGAAGACTCCTTCAGGACCTCATGTCTCCCCAGTTCCTGAACGAGAACGCCGCGCCCATCCTCTACTCTGGCATCCTGCAGCTTATTCAGCTCTGGAACGACAAGGCCCGCATTGCAGAAGGCCGCCCCTTCCAGGCCGACTCCGACATCTACTACTCCATTCTTGATGCGACGACAGCCTTCTCCTTTGGAGCCGGTGCCAAAAGTGCCATTCGTCCTACCGTGGACCTTATAAAAGGCTTAAGTACTAATAACATTCGCCAGCTCCGAGGATCAACGCCTGCTGGCGGCGAGCAGCCTCTGCACTTTCCCACTGCCAAGATCGACGAGAGCCTCAGGGCATCGCTTGATGTAGCGGATGCAATTGAGCAGCTTCAAGGGTCGCCCGTCCCTAGACTCAAGTGGAAACTCAGCGTAGAGAGGCAGCCCGCTGTACGCCAAGCGATCCAGATCAAAAACGCTTTCCTCCGCGAGGAGATCAGCAAGGCCCTGGACAGAACGCAGAACTCCAAGGAGTCCAAGGAGCATTCTTCTGCCGTTGAACTCATGGTTTCAAGGGAAAAGAAGCTCGCCGATAATGATGGCAGGAAACCAGACTTCTTCTCTTCTATGATGATGGACGAGGTAAGTTTGAAGTATTCGCTCCGTGATCATTGATAGCCTCTCGTCTCACACATCCCTAGATCTACGGACTCATGATAGCAGGGCACGACACTACCAGCACCACCTTAGGTTGGGGTGTCAAGCTTCTGGGAGACAACACAGACTCCCAGTCTAAGCTCCGCGAAGTCCTCGAGTCCGCCTTTCCCGACGCTGCTGCCGAAAACCGAAACCCGACAATCAAGGAGATCACTGGAACCAAGGTCCCATACCTGGATGCCGTAGTAGAGGAGATTATTCGACACGGCAGTGCCGCTGTTCTCCTGGATCGTGAGGCTGTCTGCGACACGGAACTCTTCGGTCACCGCATTCCTAAGGGCACCATCATCCTCTCGCCCGCCCGCGGACAGAGCATCCTGAAGCCCTCCATCCCAGTCGACGAGTCTATGCGCAGCAAGAGCAGCCAGAACGCAAAGGCCAGAGCCTGGGACGACGCAGACATCACTCACTTCAAGCCGGAGCGCTGGCTAGTCGATGCCAATGATTCCCCGCCCGAGTTTGACCAGCAGGCCGGGCCCCAGCTTGCGTTTGGCTTTGGTACCAGAGGCTGCTATGGACGACGTCTGGCGTACCTCGAGATGCGCATTATCGTCACGATGATTGTATGGAACTTCCAACTGCTTCCTTGCCCGAAGGAGCTGTCTGGCTACGCGCCCAAGGAAGGCTTCACGTATAAGCCCAAGGACTGTTATGTGTGCTTGCAGGCGCTTCGTTGAGCTGAGGACGAGAAAGTTGTACTTGCCATGTATTCTTAAAAATTGTCTTTCCATTCGGGTACGGTGATTTCTTGCTTATTCCAGCTAGCGAAGGCATTTAGATTGAGTTAAGGCGATCGGGATCGGGATAGAGGCATGCAGGTTCTACCAAACTAAGCACTATTCGATGCAGAGTCTCCATATGTACGTATCCAAGACAATAGAAGGTGACTTGTAGAACATCTCGGTTTCCGTGATAGCCTGAGAGTATTGCGCCTCATAAACACCAAGACCCCGAAGGTGGAAAGAAACTATAGCCTTGAGCAGGTCATTGATTTTGCCGATTGGTCGACTAGCCTGTTGGCCCAGTGGAAGGTATCAAAAATTGAAAAAGAAAAAAGCCAAAAGCTCGGGTTCTCAGTCCATGAATCGAACAGGCTACACCTACGAAACCCTCCATCTTTGCAGACTTCTCGAGATTTCATACCAAGTTCGTATACCAACGGACTAAAGCGTTGTACCGCTCGACCACACGGATCAAGGGGGCTTGGTTGACGAGTGAGCGATCCCAATCTGAATATAAGGCATACGCCTGCGGTTCCTGCCTGGGATGGATAGGATTGACGGTGCAGAAGGAAGGAAGTTTAGGCGATGGGCTTCTTTTCCATTTAGCCCGTGGGAAGGAAGTATTTCACGTGCCATTATTCACATCACTCAAATTTCTGACTGCAGCACAAGCATAATATTAGGAGCCGGATGGCTCGCTTAAAAATCGACGTTGTTTCATAACCAATTGATACGTTTATTGTGAAATATGTGACCCCCCCTCCTTCAACTTCTTAATTATTTTCTTCTTAATTCCCAGCAACGACTAGGACGCTTGAGCTCCAGCCTCGAAAACGTTGATTACACCGTCACCATTGAGATCAGCCGGGTCACCGGGTGCTGCGGGAGTTCCGTTGGGGTTGTTGCGGTCAAAGGTGCTCTGAAGCTGCTCGATCAAGCTGGAGCCACCGCCGCCTCCGTTTCCACCTTGCTTTGGTTCCCTCGTGTCCAAAGCGCTGATGTCTTGGCCTTCATCGTCATCTTCTTCGATGTCCCTGGCTACAAGCTCGTCAAGGTCTCTATCGACTAGGATAGCGCCGCCTACGTCGCCACCGGGGTTATTTGAGGCGACACGTGCCTGGAGGTCCGAGATGGCTTCATTGCCAGACAACGGTTGGGGAAGTGCAGTCACAACGCTGCTCAAGAAAAGAATGGCGACGGTGGAGAACTTCATTTTTGCTGATGATAGGAAGGACAAAAGGTGGTTGCTGGTCGGCGGTATTGTAATATAATTATGAGAGTCGTAAGACGATGACTACTGCCTGAGTAGTGAGGGAAGAAAGCTGCAAGACTAGCGGAAGTTTACTGAGAGCGAGACGAGATACTTCCGAGAGTTAATAAGACTTAAGTTGCGTTACTCGTGAGGCGCCTTTTATATCAATCACGCTCAAGTGCGTCTACTTTCGTTGGATACCATCAGGCATTGAGTGTGGTGTTCCATGATGGTGATGCAAAACTGTTTGGGTTTTTCTAGCTTGGGCATGTCAAAGTTGCCCTGGCAAGGAGATCCTAGAATATGAGAGGGATAGCCTCTCCAGTCTCCGTCGACAGAAAATGAGACGGTGTTTGACACGATGATGTGACTGCTGACTCAGGCGCACCTGTGCAAGGCAGAAAAGGCACTCTTAACATGGAAGTTGCTGGGGAAAGCTCCTGACTTATATGTCGTTGAAACTACTTATTGATTCCGTCTCAACTTCCTTTGGTGTGACATATGTCAGTGTCTCAAACTGCAGCCCCTATTTCCCCATCCTCTGACGTTCCCCTCAAGCTTAAAACTATCGTTGGCAAGCTAAAACAGCACCAGACGTCCACACCGGTGTTTCATCTAATCACGCGCGATCAAGCTATTGAATTCATCTTTTATTATTTCAGACGTCAACCAAGAGAAGATGCGTACCGCTTGAGCACAACGCGAAAGCGATCGTGCGAAAGCGATGCATCAGACCAACCCACACGCAGTCGCATGTTCTGCGGGACTTGATATGGAAGCCCCAGCGCACTACAAGATGTCCCCCACTTTGGACATGTCAACAGGCTCTCTAAGCCTAGACTCTAGATCAAAGTAAGGCGATGGAACGCGCGGGTCAATTGCTTGTCCAAGGAAAAGATCGCAGAAGGCCTTTGTTGACAGGAATACGCGGGCCATGCCTAGAAAGTTACCTTCCCATTAGCACAGGATGTAGAAAAGGAAACGTCCGAATGGAAAGATGCGGTTCGAATTTCTCCAGCACGATTATCATAACATGGAGGTGGGAGACGTTGAAAAGACGCATGATGCTTACCGTGACCGTGATAGCCACCGATGAGGTATTGGCCAGGCTTGCCAGGCAGCTCTCCTATGAAAGGCAACAAGTCCTTGCTGAGCCCCATGATGCCGCTCCAAGCAAATGGAACAGAATCTTTGACCCCGGAACTTGGGCTTTCGAAAGACTCCTGCCAGCACTTGAAAGTCCGAGATGGCCCCTTTTTGATGAAGTCAAGCACCTCGGGAACGGCAAAGGAGTCATCGCAGTCTCCGTAGCCGCCTTCAGGCCCGTTCGGATGTGCGCCTTCTCCTCCACCCCAGACCAGGTACTTCTGCGGACCGGGACGTTGTATGAGATAGTCGTAGTTTTCATCGGATACGAAAGCAAAAGAAGTTGACAGCGGCAAGTCGACATATGCAGGCGGAGGCGTGATGGCCGCAACGTGACCTTTGAGGGGAATGATGCGCCCATCAAGTTCCGGCAGTAAATGAGAGGCATAACCATTGGTGGCGTGTATCACCTTATTGGCAGTGACAATGCCGCGACTAGTCGCGACAGTCCAACCACCATGCCCACCGTCGGCTTGAGAAACTTCCAGCACTGGAGTGTTAGTCTCAAGCTGAAGGCCAGCCTCGAGAGACCTTCGTATCATGGCTATAGCCAGCTTATACGGCCAGAGACTTGAAGCAGGAAACGTGATGGCGCCAAAGCAGCTCGTGATGCGAAGCGTTTCTTCGGCTTCAGCCTTAGACAAAACTGTGATTTCGGAGACGTCGCCGCCTGCTTCCTTGAAGCCATTGTAAGATGCGAGCCCTGCTTTCCAGGTATTTTCCGTCAAATACACATCCGCGGACCGATATTCGACGAGGTCTATCTCATCATCAAGGCCATTTTCTCGGATGTATGCCAAAGTTTCGCAGTGGTTAACCGCTTCGAATGTGCATTGTGCCACAGCTACCTCGGGGCCATGTAGCTTGGAGTATGCGGTAAACCCCCGATAGCAATCAGGTTTGATGTGTCCGCCTAAGGCACACAGTCAAACCTCGTTGGCCTTGAAGATTATTTGCTAGTTTGGAGACTGAAAACTTTCTTACCATTCCTACCCGTAGCGCCACTTACCGCGGCTCGGGCTTCGAGCATCAATATGGACTTTGGTCTATTGGGTGACTGATCTGTGAGCAGTCGGTGGGCAATAAAAGCACCAGAAATACCAGCTCCGATGATGACTACATCTGCTGAGGTGGGAAGTCTATGGCTAGAAGCTCTCAGACGTCAGTTCATCCGCTGCTATCGGCTATTGCGATAAGAAAGGAAGTTGGAAGCTGACAAGCAATATTTGTTATCATCATGTTAGATGCAGGATTACAACGATGTTTGACAAGAACGGAAAGCACCTTAATGACTCTCTGCTTCGGAGAACACATTTCTAGTCTGTAAGATCAGGTTATGAGCTTCTTTGACTTACGACTGATGGTTGCTTATAACTGAATCTGGTTCAGATTGCCAAAACGAAGCTGTCGGATTACTGACTGGCAATGTTGCCGTGTAAGTTGGGCCCGACGCCATTGATGCCTAGGCCAGGAGAGAGAGTGAGAAAAGCTACTGGTGTAGGGTACTAAATATTGGCTGACCCCAGGTTTTCTTCGACTCCTAAGCAGACTATCCGAGGATGGTAATGGAAGATGAGATATGCACTGATAAGCCAGCCAGTCACCGGAGGGAACGCGGGGAACACGGCCACCCCACCTACCCAGGCTAGAGCGTTCCCCACCATCAAGTTGGGAAGCAGACGATCCCCTCCAACACTCGATAGAGGACTGTTGCAATGGCATTCATTATTCTCTTCATTCAGTGACTTTGTAGTTCACGTCGTGTCCTGTCACTTTGTGCTCCACTGAGAGGTACAGAAATCATTAAGGCCACTGTCAGCAACTCGAGCCTCGGAAAGGTATTTTTTCTTGCTTGACAAAGCTGAGCACAGTCGTCTATGCCTGCACGGGGTGTTTCCATGCTTGATACGAGATCCAAGCCTGGAAAATACCGACCACAAGTCCCATTATCCCAAGAATAATCGCAATGATTACTCCAATAAGCGTCGCCAACATCACGTGCCTAGCTTTACTCCGCCGTTCCAACCAGACATCGATAGGTCTTCGGGGTCTTGGGTTCTCGAGTTCGTCGTATAGGTCCATCAATCGCGAACCCCAGTAATGGTATCTAATATCTCTCTCTGAGTCGCGGAGATACGGCCGGTACCCGAGACTGAGGCAGTCGGGATCGAAGGAAGCTTTCGATACCAGAGATCGTAGAAAAGCCCGCGATTCCTTATCTAAGGGGAAAAGGATATTTTGAAGGGAGTCTAGGGTCTCTAATGCTAGCTGCCGCGGTAGGAGAGGCCTATCATATGTCAGTAATGGCATTCGATAGTCGTTTGATTTGGAGACCCTACTCCGCATGAGTATCCTTCGATGCCTTGAGGCACTCCTTCAGAAAGGCAGTATGGTGATAAAGCTCGACGACTCCAGTTTTGAGATCCATCCGAAGGTGGTTTCGAAGGTCATCTGTGCCTTGGAACAGTAGCCCAGCGACTTTCTTAAGCCTTGTTGCTTTCAAGGCTGATTTGATGTCAGGTAAGGAATCGCCAGGGTTGTTGAGGTCAGGATGGTCTCGGACTGGGAACATGGTTGATACAAGTTCCCGCGCAGACTGATCGTTCCTCCAGACGGCTGTTTCGATACCACCAGCTTGTCCTTCGTACGAGCAGCTGACCATGAGGATAGCCTTGGCAGCAAGATTGAAGGCTTGCTTCTCATCTTCTGGCAAGGTGCTCTTTCCCATTTGCCTCTTAGAGAAGTAATCTTGCGCCAACTTGATTCTCTGCGCCTCTGGATTCGACCTGATCAACCGGATAAGGTCATGCAGATCGTCGTGCGACCGCAAAGCTTGAACCTCGTCCGGCGGAAAAGCATCAGAGACATACGACGCCGTCATCTCTCTGTAGAACCGAAAATAGGGTTCGAACTTCATGCTCTCGAGCTTGGACTGCTCCTCTTCATTGTGAATGCATTGTTTCCAGCCCCATAGAGCTTTACCCAATTGCCGAAGCTGAGACTTCGTGACCGACTCCAAAGGGAATGTTTCCAAATCAAACTCATCCATACTGATCAGAATGCCTCAGAAGTATTCTGGCAAAGAAACTCAAATGAATATGTTCCACACAGATTCCTCCAAATTAGAGGAAGTATCTGCTGCATACAAGCACAAATCGTCAAGTAGCAATTGGGAGAGATAATCCTGGCTGCGGCGCAGGCATGCTGGAAGCAGGCTGCGTAATTGAGGCCTCTTATTGGACCAACCACGCGACTTTGCCGCTGAAATTGCATAAGAACCATGCGAGGCAGTCTTGAGGGCTGACTTGTCAATATGTCGCTGGCTTTTGTAATTTTGGCCTGACGCGTGACCCAAGGAAGCCCTAAGTTTACTTGAGCAATCTCAGCGTGACGCAGAATCCGGCTGGCTAAAGCTTCGTATCACCCAAGAACATTTTCCTACAGGAACTACTTTTCAAGCTGCAGTCGTCATGGCCGATGAGTCTTTGGCAGCCGCAAACCGTGCTGAGATCATCAGCTGTTTCAAGGAAACACACCAAAAACCATGGACTTCGAACCCCGCTCCATGCCATGTCGCTCCTATTACAGAATCCTCATCCGTATCGGAGAACTTCACGGATTCGGGATATTCTTCCCCAGACGATCCTGCTATATTCGATTCTCGAGACAGACTTCAGGAAAGCAAAGCACGGCCCAAAGGAATTCCAGTCAAGCTGGGCGGCCGAGATCTCCTCAGATTCAAAATCACACCAGACAAGTCAACACGCGATCGCTTCAGCCATGTCATAAACCAGATAGAGCCATTGTTACTGGCTCGCTTGAAGAAGAAGACTGGGGAGCGAATAGGTCCGATCGCATTTCGATCAATGATACTCGGGACAACTGCGGAAAACGCTCATGAGCATATTGTTGTGCTTTGCCCCAGCCAGCTTCTAGACACTATCAACGAATTCTTCGAAAAGACTAAGATAATCAAAGAGCTGTGTGAGCCGAGTGACAAGATACCGTCTATCAGTATCATTGTTGAGGGTAGAGAGCCACGTATGATGGCACAGCTCTTGCATTCAGTCATGGCAATGGGTCCTGCTCCCCTAAGTCCCGATGACATTTACATGCCTGGGATGCAGAGCCTCAGTGGACAGTGTGTCGTAGCCAAAGATACTCTGGGCATCGCAATTATCGCGACTTGCGGTGGAATGATCAAAGTGGTGGACAAGACTGGTAAACGAATGCTCTATGGAATGACGGCTGGCCACGTCTTCAACGACGCGAACTCTCAAATTACTCAAGATTTAGCCAATGTATGGAAGCCACAATATCGTGAAGAATGGCTGACGTCCGGTAGAGTTTGGAAGAGAGACGGGCTCCAAGAAAAAGGCCCGGATTGCGATTGGGCCTTGCTCGCACCTGAGGACGTCTGGCTGTTCGGGGCGAATAGGTACCGTACACGAGACTCTTCAGGACAGCCCATTGAGCATGCTCTCACCACTGAAATTGGAACTTTTCCGCCCGACACAATCTGCCAGGAAGTGGAGATGATTGACGCTCCTCACTCCACTAAGCCCGGCCTGCTTTCATCTGAGCCAACTCGGATTCTGTTAGGAGCCGATGATGCGTTCACACAGGCCTACATTCTCACGCTGGACGAGGGCGAAGGTTAGCCGTTCTTATTTCTGGCTATGTGTAATATTCGCATCGCACTAACAGAACTTTGCAGTCCGTAGCGGCGATTCTGGTGCTTGGGTCGTGGGATCATCCTCCCACGACGTTTTCGGCCATATAGTTGCGAGAGACATGTTTGGTGACGCTTACGTTGTTCCTTTGGACCAGACTTTTAACGACATTCGAACGAGTATGGACGCGACTTCCGTTCAATTGGCTTCTCCGCAAGACTTCGCAGCAGTAGCCGGTGACGAATCCCTCCCCGGCCATGTGCGAAGATTTGACCCCTTTACAATCTTGACTTCATGGCACGAGATCTGGCATCCACGAGGGTCGACACGGGGGTCGCATGGGATGGCCCAACTGCCAAATGATATCAACAGGTCTACGACATTGCCTGATTCCGCTTACGGGTCGGCAGATTCGACTCCGCAAGTATCACTTTCCGCCATGCCTATTTGCATCAGCGATGATCTTCCCTCCGACTTCAAAGCCACCGACGATGCAACAGAGGAGTGTATATTCGGGAGTTTTGAGCCAGGTGGCATTCATTTATGGGAAGATGGTCAAGCAGGAGATGACGAAGTGCCTGACATGTCGTGGCGGGTATTCTAAGCAAGGATGAGGGTTCAGTATACTCATCCGACAGCTAAGCAGATGGGCCCAGTAGAGCTCCGGGCCGCAGTGAACATACTCTGCCGTGAGGAAGCCCTTGAGCGAAGCAGAGAATTTGGGTTATAGATGATCTGGAGAGCAAGGGGGGAAATATCCTGAGCAAGTTGGCACTAAGCATATGTGTTAGAAGCGTCAAGATGAATAAAGTCGCGAATTTAGGAGAGAGTGGCCTTTTGAGATAGTTTGGTGATTGACTACCGCTGTGATTTCTTGCAATGCATCCCCCATTCAGCGCCGCCTTATGCCTGAGTAGTTAGGATGAGGTAGAGAAATATTTACATGAGAATTGTTACCCAAGTATGCCCTCTCTTGCCCAGCACTACATTGAGTAAATGCTTCGTGCTCTGACCATGCTGTCAGAACAAGAGACAGAAGCCGGATCACGAGGTAACTTCGAATCGCGCCAGGGATTTCCAAGAGTACATCATGCATATGGCGCAGGATACCCTCATGGCCGACTCCCCTCTACCACTCAACGTGATATTAGACACTCGACAGAAAGGTATCTATCGACTTCGTTCCCAAGACCGCTAGGTCACTCCTTTTATTTCCAAAACATACCGAACAATCTGACCATAAGCCCAGCGGGAAGCTATTCCATTACCGAGACATCCACCGGTTACTCTTTGCCATTCGCCGGGAGTCGCAAGCATCTGAAGGGTCACAATCATTTTGAGAAACGCATCATAATGTTTCCCAGAAGACGAAGCAAGATTAGATGATCAACAGACTTCTCTTTGGATGTCAAACGGGTATTCAACAGAGAATCGAGGCAAAAGAAGAAAGCTAGGGAAAAAAAAAGGAGGACAAGATTTCCCATCGGAAACATGATCATGCCCCCTTTCCCTATAGCCCCTATTTATACATGTACATACAAGAACATCCAGTTGAGAATGCTGTCCTCACGGCCGTGCGCGTTCGCGTTTCGCCCTAGCCCATGCCCTTGAATCCCTCAGCCCCTTTGCCCGAGTCCTGTCCTGTCCTCGTCCAGAAGTTTTCCCAATGATGTGTGTGTTTGTGTGTGAATGGTGTTTTGTCATTAAAATGACCCGGATCTCGTGTGTCGAGTCCGAGTGGGATACAATGCCGTCGTCGTCTATTACGACAATCGTTCTTGATTCATGAAGTGTGGGTATGGTGATCGTGTGCTCTACAAGGGGGCAGGGGGCTCATCGGCCATCTCAGCGTCCTCGGTGACGGCGAGCACAGAGTCAAGCACGCCGTCGGGACCCTCGCCATCGTATGTTTTGCCGCCCTCGTACGTCTTTCGTCTCCAGCCGCAGGACTCCGACGGGTCCTTGGTCCACTCCGTTGTCGGGAAGTAGTGCTCGTTCTTCTTCATGGTGATGACCCAAGGTACACTGTCAAAGGTGACAGCCTTAAGTCGGAAGTCTGCAAGAAACACGATTAGCTGATGTACAAGGAACGAATGGGCCGGATGGCTACTTACAGGTGTTGTCTGGGATCTTCTGGACGGAAGCGAGGAAGGTCTCCAGATCAGGCGTCGCCTTGCCGTTCACGTGGGTGATGAAGTTGGTGGGCGCGAGGCCGTACTGGTAAGAAGGCGAACCGCGAGTGCGGGCCGACACGTACACCTCGCTGTGCAGCTTGCTAATCTGCTGTCTGACGGCATGATGAGGTCGGTGCAAGATGGCACCACAGAAGGAGATGGCATGGTCGGTCTCGACATCGTCGGCGGCGACGGTGTGAGCCTTGATGTGGATCTCCTCGCAGTTGCGTACGATGACGGCGTCGAGGACCTCGTGAGAGTACATGATGTCCAGCTCGGAGACCTTGGTGATGACCTTGCCGTTAAGCGTGAGCAGGATGTCACCCTCGAGCAGAGCGCTTGATTGCTCGCTGCGCTCAAAGGTCCGCTTGCTGACCATGAAGAGCTGGTGGTGTGTCTTGTTGGCTTCAGTGACCTTGCTGATCCACTCGTCGGAGACGCCCATCACTCTAGCTTGCGCCATCGCGATGGCTCTGAACTCGACGGAAAGTATGCGCAGCTTGGGAACGATGCCCTGTTGAATTTGAGAGACAACAGGCAGCAGAGTGGGCGTAGCAAGACCAAGATGGTACTCCTCATCACGGTTGCTGCAAGGAGAACGCTCGCCCAAGTAAGTGAGCCACAAGGCCTGGACCGTACCATCGTCGGCGACGAGAACACCGCTTCCGCACTGGTTGCTGAGACTCGTATCAACAGTGATGGCATCGACATTGATGGCACGGTATCTGGGTGCACCAGAGTTGGCCGGGATCGCCACAGCGGTGACTTCGGTAACTGTAGTGGAGGCGTGGACAATCTTTCCAATCCTGTTGTATCCCATGAAGTTGGTGGAAGCTCCTTGAGTGATGTTGTCCGTGCTCAACCTCGCACTTTGAACGGGAGCATTGACCAGCGCCGGGTCATACTGCACAATGGCATAGTTCTGAAGGGGATGGAGGAAAACGACCTTGCCCTCGACAATGATCGAGTCCGCAATGGTGATCGTCACATCGCACAGATCGTAAGGCACAATTGCTCTTGAGATGACAACAAGACCCTTGTCGGCGTCAATCACCAGGCCCATGCCCCACTTCCTGTTCTTAGGGAAGCCGTCCAGCTTAACAGGCATGGTGCAGTTGACGTGGACGAAGCTGCGCACTAGATCGGCAATGGCCGTGTGCTTCACATTCTCGAGTTGAATGAAAGAGGCGGAGCGAGCAACAGGCGCCTTAGGAGGAAGGGGATCAGCCAGGTCAGTGAAGTCCCAGAGGCCAGTCTCGTCGTTCCGGACAGCCATCTTCATCTTTGCTGACCAGTGACGATCGACGTAGATGATTGTGGTGTTCAGAGTGTGCAGGTCACGCAGGTGCTTGTAAGTTACGACCACGCGGGACTTGTCTGGGATTGTCTTCATCACCTCGATGAAGGTTTCCAGATCAGGGGTCTTCTTGTGGTCCACAGTCTGAATCAGCCAGCCATTGTCTGCGTTGTCGAATCTGAAAGAGCCAGTCGCCTCGCAAACGAAGACACCTTGACACGCTACGCCGTACAGACGGGCCTGCTGGTATGACAGGCTGTGGAAGCTAGCGCCTGCGACGGACACGAAGCGGTCAGGGGTGATCTTGTGTAGGTCACCGACCTCAACATCGACCTCAATGTCCTCGCCGCCTCTTTGGATTTGAAGATGGATGGTCTGGCCAACGTTCGAGTCCAGCAAATCATCTAGACGGATGAACTGACCGACACGTTCGCCATTCACCTTCACCAGGATGTCGCCTTCCTCAATCTTCTGGTCAGACTGTCCCTTGGGAAGGACGATTTCGGCAACAAGCATGTTGTTGTCCTTGGGGAAGTGCTGGCGAGTCGCAGCCTCCGTTTCCGGGGTAAGGCCGAGGCGTCTACATTCGTCGAAAGGCTTCAGGAGGAATTGACATTGAATGTCACCTCTTGTGACGGGCTTGCCCTGGCGGATGCATTCCAAAGCTCGTAACGGTCGGTCCAGTGGCAGGAAGTAGTCTGTCGAAGCACCATCGGATCGTCCACCAGCTTGCAGAGCCACGGCAAAGCCATCCACGTTTACAACCGGACTGCCAGAACTACCACCACTGGCGGCAGCATTGGCTTGGTAGTAGCAGGTGTTGAAGTCACTGTATCCCTCTCCGTACTCCGGCGCATTTCGATCCAGACGACTGATGAAGCCAGACAAGATACTGAGCTTCTCTCCGGCATCGTTACCCACCACTCTAATCTCAACACCAACTACCAAGCTGTCAGCGGATCCACTCCCAAAACACTACCCATCAAGGTGTTGCCTACCCTTCGCAAGGTCCGGACGCAGCACCAGCGCGTTCAGCTTCATGTACTTGACAGCCTTGGGATCGAATCGAAGAATACCGAAATCGTGAACGGGGTCGCGGTAGACGGGGTACGCATCAACCTCTTCGTGGTTGTCGAAGACGACGTAACCCCAGAACGGTCCGGATCCAACGACGTGTCGGTTCGTCAAGATGTATCTGTAGTCCACTTCGTCAGCCCCCTGCCTCCCTCTGATGACTTGCCTCCGTAAAATCCTAATCTTACCCCTTCTGAGCGTCCACCACGAAGCCAGTGGCCTCACTCGTTAACGCCGCATCCGTGTCAAAGGAGCATGTCTGGCAAAAGCGAATAGAGACAACGTTGCTGACAACGTTCTCAATGGTCTTTTGCCACGCCTCCGGCTCCTGCGTCATGGGAAACATGCCATTCAGCCGCGCGGCATCCTCGAACTCGCTCTCCTCCTCAAGCTCCTCAACGCGCTCAACCTCGGGTGTGTTGTCGCCGGCAGACAGCTTGCCGTTCAGGGCGCGATGCTGCTTATGGGGTCGCAAGCCCTCGGGGCTCGTGGGGGCCTTGCGCTTGGAGCGCGGCGATGCGCTGTTGCCGTTCATGTTTGCGGTCTCGGTCGTTGTGGTCTGGGTAGAGGGCAGTTCGCTTTGCTGCTGCGCCGACAAGGGATCAGGTTCGACGGCGGCTGAGAAGGGGCGACGAGTCTGAGCGCCGATGGTTCGTCGCTTTGTCTTATAGCCGGTGTCTCTAGATGAAATGGCTCGAGCTATACGGGAGTAGCCGCGTTGTGCGAACGGGAGGAGCTCGAGTTGGCGTCGAAAAAGCTGGGGGGAGGTAAGGGTGAAGGTTTTGGTGGTGGTGGTGGTGGTGGTGACGGTGTTGGTGGATGCTGTCCAAGGTCGTCGTGCTAGTACTGCTGGGGTGGATGCAAGGCTCAAGCAATACCCTCTGCCTCCAGTAAAGACGGAGCGCATCCAGCGAGAGAAGGTGGAAGAAAAGGATGGCAACCTTCAGCTGTGGATACGAAAATGAACAATGCCTTTGTCAAATGAACGGCGGGCAATTGGCTGTCCCGGCTATCAGAGTAGGGTGTGAGTGAACCTCAAGCTGCTGCGCATGTGATCCCTCTATGAGTGTGGGAAAGGTGATCTAGCAGAGTTGTGCTGGAAACGCGAACACCTCTTGCCAACGTCGTTTGTCGTCAAAAATTTCAGGTGCGGGACGATGGCAAACAAACAGGATCTGTCCGATATGGGGGTCACCCAGGTGAGATCACCAGGCTAGATGCATAAGAGCCCGCTTAATGGGTGCATGTCCCGGGTGGGTGTCCATCCCTGCTAATTTTCTCCACTAATTCCCCGGTTGCTGATGTAATGTGACACTAGCGTCCCTATTGAGGCCTGTACAGTTCGCTAAGGCGGTCTAGCACTCTGGCAAGGTTCACTTTAACACTCTTGACGGCAGACGTCAATGAGTGTGGTGCCTGGCCCGCAGGTCGAGATGGGACGGAATGGATCATGCTCTCACGCAGCACACCACCAACGACCGAACTCCAGGCTGCAAGAATATGCAGGTCTCACAACGTCCTGCTCGAATGACCGGCCGGGATGCACCTTGAATGGGAGTCCATGTTCGGCGACCTGATTCGTTGGAGAGCCGGTTTATCGATTGTCGGGCGCGGTTTCGGGGCTTCATCACCGCCCACCAAGTCGCTTGATATTGTCTTCCAATGCGGACAATCCTTTGTCGCCACCGGCTTCCAGCCACATCTGACTCCAAGCTGTCCTTTCTCTCTTGGTTTCCGGACTACAGCATGGTCCCGGGAGAGGTTACGGGGAGACAGCGAATGAGCCCGAGGCCCAAGACGATGGGCACAGCAAGAGAATCAAGATATGAGAGTGAAGAGTATCCCTTTTGATTTCTGATGACCTGAGCTACCCCAGGGACGTATGTGAACTCAAGAGCAATGAGTCGCACGTTCTGTCCCCCTTCCAAGCCATTTCAGAGTAATGTCCATTCCTTGCGCGGAACCCAATGAAAACCAACCGCAGCCATGTAGAGTGAGACGGCTATCCAGCGACGGCAGCAAGTATTAGATAACCTACTGCTCGCCATCCTTCTCATCCTTGGTCTCGACCTGAGTCTCAGATCCTTCGACCTTGGCCTCATCCTCAGTCTCCTGAGCCTCTTCAGCCTCGGCCTTGACCTGGGCCGCCTTCTTGCCCGGGGTGCGTCTCTTCTTGGGAGTGCCATCTAGTTGGTAATAGATCAGCCTCATGCATCGTTGGGAATCGAGTATCTGGATGCGATACTTACCAGCGTTAGTCGCCGCAGCGCGCTTCTTCGGAGTGACCGGCTTGGTCTCCTCGCTGCGCTCCTGGTCGCCGTTGGCCTCCTCGCTATCCTCGGGAGCAGCGACAGCCTTCTTCTTGACGGCAGTCTTGCGGGCTTGGAGAGAAGTCAATTTGAATGTAGATATGAGTAGAATGATGATGACTTACGGGTCTTCTGCTTCGGGGCAGCGGCCTCTCCGTTCTCGCCGGTGTTGATCTCACGCATCTGAGCAATGATAGCAGTCCACTGGCCCTGCAGGGCCTTCAGAGTGCGGCCCTCCATGTTGACATTCTTCCAGTCAACTCCTTTGCCGTCAGGAAGCACGGTCGCGAGCACGCGGAGGACAAGCTGGAACTATGTATCCGTGTGTTAGAGAACCTGAATGAAAGGAATGAAAATACGACTGAACTGAAGCCAGACTTACGCGCTCAGCATCGGTCCAAGCACCGACGCGACCAGCGGCAGGAGCCGCCTCGCTACCGTTGATGGACTTGGTGTCAGCCATGTTGGAACGATGGTATTCTTCTCTGCTATAAGTTTGGTTTGTCAGTAGTCAACGACGAGGAATATGTACTACTGATGGAAAGTAAGGAATGTGAGAGAAAGATGAGAATGTGAGGACAAGAGATGAAAGATGGGAAGGTAATGACGGAAGTGAAAATGGTGGTGAGAGGTGGAAGAAGGTGCGAGAGGGTGGTGATGATAACGGAAGGAGATCGAGTGAGGCAGGTAAAAGATTTGGGTTGTGAAGGTGTATTGCTCACTTGTAGTGAAAACGGTGATAGACGATGAAGTTTTTGCAGCTTCGCTGTGTAGCTGAGGTTCGATGATAACAAGTGTGAGTGTGAAAAGAAGTGTGAGGGTGAAAAGAAGTGTGAGGGTGAGGAAGTGATAAGGGTAGAGTGAGAGGGTGGAAGAGCCGGGTTTTATGTGAGAGGTGGATGAGAATGAGGCAGGCCTCTGGCAGTGTAAATCAGGAAGGAAGGACGGGGAAAGGTTCAAGGCGTCTCCTTCCTCGAAGAGTTCTATCTTCCCAATGTGAGTTCAAGCTATGTTGAGAGCTCTCACGGTAGGAGACGGAATTCTTCTTCAGAATAAGCTCCAGAGGAAAGAAGGAACCTGATTCTCGGGAGGAAGGCAAACCTTACCACCCTCGACGAACCAAAAACATGCAATAAGTGTAAACCTCAGTGATGATATCTCACCAACCAGACAGATCCCCATAAACCCGAGAAAGAGAAACATAAACCGAAAGACTCGAGGAAACTCCCTTCACTCACATGTTGCAAGTAAGATGCTTAAGCAGAATTCCCATGTTGTGTCCGTATTGATGCCAGCACATATTCTTGGCGAAATGCTGAGGGCCCTTTCTGAAGCTCGACTTGAGGGTCGGCTTGGGAGGTCTCAGCGGAGGAAGCGTAACAGCCTCCTTCCGCGTGCCGAGGGTCTTCGCCATGACTTATTTGATTCAAGTCGAAGTCGAAAAATGCGGTGCGAGTATAAGCAAAGTAGAGCAACTTTCGCTCGGCGTTTCGATTCCGTACAGCAAGAAACGATATCGCGGCTCGAGCCTTTCGAAGATAGGCAATGATTGCAAACGCAAGAGGTTTGTTTCCGAAAACAATTCAGAGAAGAGAAGAAAGGCGAGCAAGGCTTTCCTTGGACCAGAGTCACGACATAAGCGGAGCTAGACTTTCATTTCACGGGATCGTGAGGTCCAGGAACGTTCCGGATCTCGAGGCACGCTCAAGTCTCCGCCTCTTCCTTCTTGATAGAGAGAGAGAGAGAGACGTAGTAAGCAAGGAATTTGGCTGTGAGCTGAGGGCCACAAAGGACAGCATGAGCTACCCGTAGAAAGGAAATTGATCACTAAGAAAAGGGCAGTAAAGAAAGAGAAAGGGGTTGGTTTGTAGGAAATCAGGAACTCGTGATGACTTCAGCGTTTATTGTGTTGGTGTTGACGCAAGGATCTAGGAGAATCTACTTCATTGCATGTAAATCTACGAAACGTCCCCTTGCCATTCATCTACATGGGCAGCGGAGGACGGAGATTGCCACATCTAACACGAAAGTAGTGACATGGCGAGATATTCACGAGCATTAGAATAAACCACAACGACACAACGCGTAATTCTAATGATGCTGGTTGTCTATTCGTCTCCTCATGCCTGTTCAGCTTGAAAAGTTTCAAGCAAGCTTAATGGGGTTAAGACTCAGAAGGGCCCCAAGAATCTGATATGTATTACACAACCCGATCCACCATAGTAGCCAAGGCAAGAAACAACCAAGGCCTGGCCATGCGAGACTGTGCTAACCTACGGTCAGCACAATCGTAAAGCATCGAATCGAAGAACCCCAAAAACCCAACGTAAAAGAGCAAAGTGCAAAATGTAGCGCAAATATGGGTGTATACACACACACCTCCCTCTTCGTCTATGTCATAATGGTGTGTCGCCGTTAACGATGTCGACGAGTGAGTGTATGTGCAACGCGGCCTGGTCGATTGTGCCAGTCAAGAGAGACAAGGTTGAATCGTGATTAATATCCCCCCAAATGCCGGGTATCGTTCCGTGTCGTTTCCCATTTAGTCCGAGCTGTCGTCAAAGTTGAAAAATACACCCCCGTAAGGTAAGAACAAGGACTTCGAGGGCAGTAGAATCCTTCCCAAGCAGAAGGCGCAAATAAAATAAGAGCCTTCGCTTATGCCATCTTGCCCTTGTATACCATGAACTCACGAATGCGTGCTTCATGGTCTTCGCATGCGACAGCCCACTTCCTTCGAACTTCCTTATCTTGTGCCATCCACTCAAGATATTCGTGAATCTCATCATCGCCGCGAGAGACGAGGAAGGAATAGCCCTTGCGAGCTCGGAGATCGGCGATATTTGCCTTGCGAGCGTTGAAATGCTCAATTACTTGAGCGTTGAAGATCTCCCATCTCAAAACGTAACTCTGGAAGTCCTGGGTGTACTTCTGCCAGGCACCGCCGGTCGGCTTCAAATTAACCGCGAAAGTAGGCGGGGGTCGGGGTGCTTGCGGGATGACCGGAAAATCGAGCGAGGGCTTCTTCTCCTTTTCGATCGGGGCGCGGCCTGACGGCTGACTCTCAAACGGCAGACTCATCTTGAGATCATTCAGAGAACCTAGGCCAGAAGAGTTCTGCGCGAACGGCGCCACGTTCTTGAGGTCAGCAAGGCTGGCTCTAAACTCCTCGCTGTCTTCAGAACCGGCATTGTTCGGGTTGAATTCTGGCTTGCGCGCAGGTAACTTCGGGCCGTTTTCTTGCAAGCCATTGCCTGGCCTCCATTCGGGACGAGATGGTTCCACAGGGATGTTTCTCGCGCTGTTTGAATGATCTCGCTTTTGAGAAGTCCCAGTCTGCGGGGGGTCGATGTCCATAGCATTCGGGCTGTTTGCACCAACAGGCTCCGCCATTGACTTTCGCCCCCTCCACTCGGTCTCCTCGTCACTGTCGTAGTCATCATTCACCAGTCCTGCATTGCCCCCTGCCGTCGGCTTAACCTTGGTCTTCCTAGAGTTGACTCGAGAAATTCTGGTAGGAGACGTTGATGTAGAGTGCGTCTTGTGTGGCACAAAGTTTTGGGCCCCAATCTGTTGGGTCCAGTCTTGCGCATCAAACTTTCCTTCCGCAGAAGGTGATCCTGCCGGCTGGCCCGACATGTCCTTCTGGTGTCTCAAGCTGGGACGCTTGATCGGTGATCGACGACCTACACGGCTTCCGGATTGTGAACGAACCTTGGCGGCTTGGTCCTGGACCGGACTGCCGGCGCTGAATTTCCAAGCATCTGGACCATCACCGTTTACAAAGCTCGTGTCAATTTCCTCGGTGCTCCTGCGGCTGAAAGTTGGCTGCTCTGGTGCGGCGGTTCGGGCGAAGGTGTCCTCGTCGATCGGAAAATTGAAGCTATTGGTAATTTTCTTGTCAGCTTGGTTCGGTGTAACATCATGGTGAGTGCCAATCGTGTAGCGCTTGTCACGAGAAAGCGGCGTCAGGTCTGGCGCCTGTCTCTTCACAAGCTTGCTCAGAAGTTCGCCCTGCTTTCGCTCGAATGGTGTGAGTGAGTCTCTCCTCGACCTATCTCCACTAGGAGACGGCGAATCATGCAGGTCTGCGTTGCTCGACTGCTCAGGGAGCGGATGCTGCGTTGCACATTGTGTGCGAGCCTCGGCTGCTGATTTGCGCCGCAGGTTGGGGACCGCAAAAGGAGGAAAAGAACCTGGGGGAAAAGATGTTCCGTACATTGAAGATCCTTGTGCCGTGTGGATGTTTCCCGCTCCTGCGAAACCATTAGTTTTTGCTGGGTTATAAAGCTTTAAATAATCCCACCATTAGGATTCTGAGAAGCAGTGGCCTTCGCCTGCGCATTGTTCGGACCAGGACCGGTGGCCGTATTAGGTGGAGTGTATCTTGCGCTCGCGCGGGATCTGAATGGGTCCTTGGGCGAGTTGGACGCAGTTGCAGCCGCCGTGTTAGGGCGGTCCTCTTGCGGCGTCGAAGTCGAAGTGCGCGGGCTCGACGGCTCAGTCCTTGCTTGACGGGGGACACTCTGGGCGCGTTGACGAGCGCTGCCAGGCGAAAGATTGGGGCCGTAGTTATCCTGAGGTGGTCGAGGGCTTTCCCGGGTGCTTTTCGCCCGTCCCACAGAGATGCCATCAAATGGATTCAGTTTCTCGCCGCCATGTGACATGTAAGGAGTGCTTTGGCGAGAATCCGAGTCCCTAAATTGCGCCAGAGGGTCTGGCACTCCTGCCTCTTGTTGTCTTCGCGCATTGTCTGCGAAAATGTTGGTGTGCCGGGATGAGGTGGAGTAGTTGGACGAGTTCACCGGAGGCTCATCTGCAGGGACGGGCGAGTGAGGAGTGTAGCCAGGTTTGCGTCCAAAGGAAGCCTCCGCCCTCTGTTTCTGAGAAGGAGTCCGGGGAACTGGTCGCTTTGGAGTCTCGGGGGCCTTGGCGGGCTTTGGCTGAGACTGGCTGGCCCGACCCTTCATATTCTCGAAAGCATGCCAGGCATTCCGCTTCGCTTCTGGGTCGTCTCTCGTCTGCGCTTTAGCCGTTGGAGCCGCACCCGAAGCAAAGTTGCGGTATCTACTTGCTCCTGAGGCTGGTGGAGGCGGCGGCGGATTGCGAGCTGTCGCATTACGACGAGGTGGGGGAGGGAAGTTGGCACCGGCATTCTGCCAGGGGTTGCCTCGGACTCCGGATGCTGTAGGATATCTCGATCGTGTTCTCCCGGCATCGTACTTGGCTCGTTGTTGAGGGTCGGTAAGAATTTCATGGGCTGACTGAATGACCTGGAATCGGGAGTTGACCTCGGCCTCTCTGCCTGGGTTTCGATCGGGGTGGTACTTGAGTGCTAGCTCGGGTTAATCGACTCGTTCGACAGGAAAAGATCAGCTTCACCATACCTAGCTTTCGAAACTGTTTCTTGATCTCATTCGTATCTGCGTCTGCCGGGAGCTCCAGGTCCGCGTAGTAGTCGCGGCTCATGTCGACTCCTCCCATCCTGACGGTGATTGATGTTCGACAGACTAAAGACTCTGGAAATGATGACTGTTTTGTCCAAACGCATGCCAAGCTTAGGGTATCTCGACGTGGCGAATATTTGTAGAGCTGTAGACCAAACGAAGCACGCTCGAGGTTATCGAAAGTAGCTTCGCCGCCAGTCTGTGTTGAAGGTTGCCGGGATCTAGACACACAGCCTTGTGTTGGGTAGGTCTTGGTGTGGCGTAGCTCAGAAGTGTCGCCTGCGTAATTGGTGGCTGAGCAAAGTGACGTGACAGTCGAGATTCGCAAAACGATCGGGTTCTCCAAGCACCGTTATTTCGGTCCGGGAAACGTAGTCGCAATAGCTGTCTTCAGCTTCGATTTCTACCACGTTGGCAGACGTAGGTTCGTCTTCGGAAGGTTGATCGAAAGGTTGTGGTTTTCTGTAAGGAGGGGGAAGGCAAAAGAATGAGTGGACTAAGGCAGCAAAGGAAGTCAGCAGTCGTGTCACGGGTAGTTTGGAACAAAGTAGTAGATTTTTTCGCAAGCGGAAGTTATCGTGGTAAAGGGCACGGCAATAGTTTTAGAAGAGGTAAGCAATCGCGGAGGTAACACATGGGTAGCAGTCGCCCAGTTGTAAGATGACGGGAGGAACGTCGGCAGCTGCTCCCCACAGATCTGGAAGTTTTGGTGTTTGTTGCCCCTCGCAGCTCGCAGCGTTATGTTGAACAGGCGACTACTGCACAGCAACAAGGATATGCGTTGATGCTAGATGACGGAAGCAGGCACCGTGGGGGGAGGAAGAGAAGCGATCTGAAGCAGGGTAGGCTTGCCGGGCTGAGAAGTCGAGCCAACCAGTTGACGAAGGCACTGGAGCCGCAGGAAGTTCGCTGGTACTGGTTGGCCCTTCACCGTCGTTCTGCTAGACAATCTCACATTGAGGAAGACGCGGTGATGATTGGGCAGATGCGATGCGACGTGCGTGTATGGGAAAGCAACTCACCGAGATGACGTCAAACTGGGAAGCAGATGCCAGAAGCTGACTACCGTGGGCGAATGTCGGACGAGAGCCGCGGGTGCCCGACGGGAGAGGCGAGGTGGAAGAGACGCAGCTGTGATGCGACGTTGTTCCGAGGAAAGGGGTTCGCGGGTAGTTCGTCAAGACGAGAAGAAAGGAGCCGCATCGGCAGTGTGCGAAACCGAAAAGGAAGAAGCAAATATTAATTCAACGTTTGTTTTTGACGGGCCGTCTAACCCACCTCTGTCCGTTCGGTTGCGCGGGCAGCAAGGAGGGATGGATGGGGTAAAAGGGTCTAGTTTTTTAGAAGGGTTTCCAGGGACTCCCCGGTTACCTCTTGCCTGAGCTGGATCCCCAGCTGCCTCGAGCTCCCCAACCGTTGCCTGCCTTGCCCGCAGCCAGTCTGCGCCTGCTTGCTTCTCTCCACTGACACGGACGCACCTCCCCCCTTACCCCCCCCCCCGCTTCGCGGCACGACGCGTGTAAGTGCGCTTGACGTTATTGTGGTCTCGTTTCTGCATAACGTAAGGCATGCCAGAATGTCGTCTGGACTCTCCTTCAATTTCACCAAATACGCCTCTTCGAATAATACCCGCAATAGGTAGTGGGGAAGGGTGAGGTATCTACAGATAGCTACGCACGACTACCTAGCATCATATCGCCTCCATGGTGGGGATCTCATCGCCTCAAGCCTCACCCGAGTTGCCTAACCTTTCTTTAGTCAGCCTATCCAGCTGGGCTAAGCCACCGTTCTAGCGTGGAATATCGGCAGGCGTGATGCATTTCCAAGCATCGCCTGGATAAACCAAGCCGAGGATGGAGTTGGAGGATGGAGCTACCAAAATTGCCCTAGTTACGGATTCTTCGTATGCCCTCGACGCTGCGTGGATTCGACGGCATCTGCGCCGATGCATTCCAGTCACGGGGGGTCACCTCAAATCTGAAGAGACAAGACTTTCGAAGGAGAATCCAATCTTCGGCAACCTTGTGCCGGCCTAAGCTGACACTAAGGTAATTAGACAGCAGCCTCAAAATCTCCGACTGGAGCTATCTGAGCTGAGGCCTCGGAACCCCCAATTGCGCCTCACATATGTTGAAGAAACAATTTCCCAAGAGGAAATCTTGAGCCAGATGGAGTCTTACGAGCTTTTTGTGATCAATCAAACAAACAATCTCTCTGCAACACATCAAGGCGGCTATTAACAAAAACTACTGAAAGATTGTCACAAAACTACCGTTGCCCGGCCTCCCAGCTTGGCTCATCTGCAGTAAGCCCGCCGGACCCCTCCCCCGCATGAACCCAAGTCCACGCGAGTTTAGAGCCCACTCCTACGCCAGCCGAAAGCTACGTAAACATCTCAAAGCCGGTTTTGTTTCTTCTATCGAACTTGAACCCCCTCCAAGTATTCGCAACGATGCGTAAGAGGGGATGATCGACCGAACACCTTGCCTTAGGATCAAACACTTATGCTAGACGACGTCAGGATCAGGACCCGCCCCCGCCATCCAGACAGACCAGGGGCATATGGATGCCCTGGGCCTCAGCTTCATTGGCGTGTTGTAAGGCAGTGGTCTTCTGCAACGAATATGATCTCAAGACAACCTACTCGATGAACCCAGGTGGAACCTCCCTGGTCTTTGTCTCATCAGCGCCATTTATCTTGTATTGCCCGGCGGAAAAATGGAAGGGTACAGTTAAGACGTATCCATTGGTGCCTTTCTCAACTGAGTCGCAACCCCTCGCTTTCATCACCAAATAAGTGAGATACTTTTCAAAACTTCCTCTTCGAGACTTTGATGTCATGGTAGTCACTCTAGTCTCTGGTACCTTAAAAGTTGCTCCAGAGCAGTCCCCTCTGCTAGCCGCCTGGCACAAATCAATCCTTGAACGCCATCGCTGTGAACTTGTTTCCCAGCCCCTGTGTTTTACTTTTACATGCATGGTAGACTTTGGTTGTTATGTGGAAGTCGGATACCCTAGTCCTCGGTCCCGTAGCATCGATGACAGCCATCTCTGTGCGTCATCCTAAGAGACTCTGATGGGAACTCATAGCTGGGTTGGCGCAGTGGTTTTTGTCCATCCCTTGTTCTTCATGTTCGCCTCAATTGCCCGCCAGATCGACTCTGCAGCTTCCTTGTCCCTGAACTTTGCCGCCTCCTGAGCACCAGTTCCATCACGCCAGCGATCAACGCCGAGCTGCAACACGCGGTGGCCCCAGTCCTTTACGCTGTCTGGCGGTTGCTCCCCGCGCCAGCCGATGAAGATGCCCAAAATACGGCGGAACAGATCCGGAGGAGAGCTCCACTTGTAGTTCTTGAACTGCCATGACTGGCCAGTGGTGAAGACTGCAACAACGCGATTCCAGTACTCGGGTTTGAACTGCTCAGGGCCCTCGACGAGAATGAAACGCATGGGCCGCGACGGGTCGATATCCTTCATGACGCGGGAGACGTGTAGCATGCTAGCAGCAGCGCTGCCGTCGGGCTGCACGTAGCGCCCTGACTCGAGAAAAGAGCGGATGTTGGACAGGCGCAGAAGGGAGGAGGCCGAGGGCGAGAGGAGGATAATCGGGTCTGGTCGCCTCGTTGGGGCCTTCTGGTTGAGCGCGAGGGATGGGTTGGCGCTTATGTTCGACGAGCCATTGGGTTTCTTCTGGATGAAAGGAACAGCGAGCTTGCGGACATGGGAGAAGTCCTAAAAAGAATCGAGTCAGTCATGCGTAGCTTGGTTGTGAGGTTGATCGCGACTCACCGTGTGCTTCACGCCGCGTAACACAGAGTTGCGATCCCCCATCTTGCGCTCTCCATCGTAGATGACCGCCAATCTAGGATCCAAAGTGCCTCGTCCAGCTCGACTGGCCGCAGTTGCTGGGGCAGTCTTGGACGCGCTCGCACTAGCTCCCTCCTTGCCGTCCTTGTCGCCAGCCAAAGGCTTGATGTGTTCACTCTCCTCACTAGCGCCTTCCAGCCAAGTGAACAAGTCTAAACGTTCGACGAAGGCAAGGTTTTGGACAGTGCCTAGGCTGCCCAATTCTTCGTTGAGGCGGGTAGCGCTTGCGTTGTATTCGGGAATTGCAACATCCTTGTTTAGCCAGGCGAAGTAGATGGATCGCAGGTCGACCGGGCGGTCGCTTGAAATGAAACGCGTCGGTGTCGAGAGCGACACAGAAACGGGAGCTGGGTGCGAGAAGAGTAGATGGGTAGCTTGCGAGAGAGGAACCTCGGTCGCAGAAGCATCGGCTGAAGCTGTGGGAACCGCAGGTCGTTTCGATGCGATGGATTGCCGCAGCAGGAGCAATGGATCCTGCTCGTTAGCAGCCATAATGATAGGTAAAAGAAACAATAGGCTTATAAGTATCGGGCTCTTATAGAGCTTCTGAAAGCCTGGAAAGATGACCAAAAGGCTTGGATGACCGAATTGAGCGTGACTTGGGTTGTATGTGTAGATGCGACGGGGTGTTTACGAGCCTCGAAATTTGGGGCTAGAGGTTCAGCCTCAGTTGCTGGCTACCTATCGCCATTTTCAGCCACATTACATGGCCCATATTGATCACACGCCAATCTATAGAGCTGCGCCACAATTGAGCCTCCTATGCACCTTAAAGCTTCAAGCTGCTTTCTCTCGACCTTGACCCACACATCCCTATAATCATGATTTGTTTGGAGAACGCATGGTTATTAGTGATGCCCACACAAGGTAATAGGACCGTGTGAATATGTCAATTTGATCTGTTCTAGGGCGTGAATAAAGGCTCAGCCAGCATCAGTCCCATATTGATCTCTCATCGGTCTCCGAGGTAATAGACACTTCTGATCCTTGGCGTCTGTCACTCATTTTATGTTCTATCTTGAGTGTTGACTCTTTCCTCCCTCTCCCATGATAAACACAAACCCCAGTACCACCCGATACGTGTTTAGGGTTCGCCGGACACATTGGACTACTGGGTAGGTGCTCCGGAAGATCAAATTCGAAATTGCGAGGTCCTGTTAGTCTCCGCTTGGGTTGTATTCGTTGCTTTGCTTCCCACCACTCCTTGGGTCTTTTTGGGAGATTGTCGTCGCATCTCGTTTGGTTTCGTTTAACGCTTGTAGATCTGGCCGGTTGAGCAGCGTCCCAGGTATCACTGTCTTCCCCAGAAGGAACCATGTCTGTGAAAAAGCCTCGTGGCTTTCCATCCGCGGTGTCCTCGTGCGTTGGCGGAGTTCTCACCCTTGTAGCTTCCTGAAGTGACGGTCAGTTGAACACTTGTCGAAGATGATCTGGATGCACTCACTCCAGCAGGGTACGGCGTCAGGGTAGAGTCTTGTTGGCCTATTTCTGATATTAGCTTACATTTAGATCGGCAATTGTTGGTTTCCTACGACTCAAGAAGCCCTCGGGATCAGGCGTGACAGGTGGGGTCTTTCCTGCCAAAAAGTCTCGAACAGAACTTGTGGCACTGCTGATGGTGTCGTTGGAGTCTTTACGGTGCCAAGGGGCCTTGCCGAACCAGCTTGTGCCTGTGGCCGTAGACCTTTGATCTTCTTTGTTGGTGAACCAAGTCAGCGTTTTGGATATCGGAGAGCTTGAGATATTCTTCGGCACGTCGGCGATTTGCTCGGAGGCTAGAGATTCGGATATCGACTCGGACGATTGCTTCTGCTCGACATTAGAATACACCCCGCTCGGTCTAACACCAATGTACTGACAGTCATGTTCTTGAACAAAGAAAACAGTTTGATGCTTTTCCGGCTCTGGATGCTCTGGCTTATCGATGGAGCACCAGAGCTTGCGCCATGGATTGATTCCAACGGCTGTGCTACCTCTGGCGGAGGTTCTTGGAGTGTAATTGCTAGTTTTTCCTCCGGTGAATTGAGGGTATGCTGAATACTCGGCATCCGGTCCAAACTAGGTCGTACTGTGTGAAGCAACGTATTCTGCAACACTCTAGTCTGGAACTCCTCCGACGATGGGCTAAGCGGCCCATTGGAGCTGAGTACGGACCTTGGAGACGAGGGAACATCCGGAGGCAGCATCTCTTGCTCACTAGTGCTAACATTTCGAATCTTTGGGGATCTGTTGGCCCATCTCCAACGCCTGTTTGCGCTGCCTTGGCGCGCTTTTCCAGAGATGATCTCTCGCTCAGCCCAATATCCTTCAGGAAACCAGACCTACTCGCATCCTTCTTTGGGGGGCCTTGGAGGGTCATGATAGCTTCCAGGCCTTGGAGTCATTGGCCAATCCCTTGGAGACGGCTGAGTGGGAGTTGACCTGGTGCTGGGACGGGGCAGTGATTGTGGCGTAGTAGGTGTTGCTGGCAGTGAGCCAAAGTATCCGTCACACTGTCCCCTCTTGGGCGTACTGGATCCATCCCAGCTATCTCCAGGTGCAAATTGCAAAACCTCAGGACAAGTGACTCTGAGCGCCGTTTTGAAGGACAGCCTGTGAGCGTCGCGATTGGATATGGGATAGGACTGCGAAGACGATCTGTGAATGGGGTCAGCATCAAAAGCTGTCATTACCAGCACATGGCAGACTTACGTCCGTCTGCGAGTCCGGACGGGGTCCTGAAAAGGGTCATTGAATGCCACGATACTCATCGGCAGACCATCCCTAGAGCTCTGGCGTTCTGTCACTGCATCATTGCCGTCGACTGTATGAATAGAGGCCATTAGGCTAAGGACGGCTTGCTAGGGATTCGTGGAATCAATGGCCGGCCAAATGAGGAGGGCTAGGCAGGCTGCAGGGAGAACCATAAAGATAATCGGAGGTGATCAAGAGGAAAGATTTCGAAAAGAGTTTGTTCGGAATCCTTACGGCAGGGACTGGAGAAGTTCGATGCTGAAGGTGGCACGTGGTGGTCCCCGCTAACCTCTGTTTCGGCAGGATGGGACACCTACCTCAGGTAAGGTACTTTGAGGCGAGTAAAGGGGCCCCTGCCAAGTAGGAAGTCCATAGAAACGTGAATCACGCGTCAAAATATCACGAGCTTCTCAGAATCCATTCGATTAGGATTGCGGGTATCAAATCAGACCTGCTAACGCCTTCTAATGCCCAGGGGTTGGCCAAGCTCCATTTCCCATGTCCCAGTTGTTTTCATGTGTCGTTCAATCCACGAGCATCGTATCATCACCGTCGAATGCGGCACTCTGCTGCTCAACAGCCACTCCCTTTCCTCTGCCAGCCAGCAACTCTCGCCTAATTTCAGGCGCAATAGAGTGGTGGCCGTGGGTCAACAGCAAGTCCAACAGCGCCTCTCGCTGGTCCTCGCTCAAGTCGTTTCTGTATCTCTGGGCGAAAGCCAGAAGATTTTGGTGGAAGACAACGGGCAGCGACTTGACCATGTCTCCAGAGAAAGACTGACCCTCCTTGATGGATGCAGGGTCCACACTTCTGAATCGCAGGAAATGGAAGACGAGCGAGTCGATGACCTGATACGGAAGGGCGTACTTCTTCTCCAGCAGGGCCTTAATGAAGATGTTGGCCGCACCACCGCCCTCGGTGCCCGCCGAAGCTTCCTGAGCAGCACTACAGCCGCGTTAGCACATATTCACAGCCAGAACTTGAAGAACAGGGAAGCCTACATCTCGGTGATACCCTTCAAAGCCGCAGCGGAATGAAGTACTGGCACTGACACTCTGACGAGCACAGCGGAAACAATTTGCGCCTCACGGATTGTGCAGCCGCTGGAAAGAAGGGGGAACAAGAAGCCGAGGAAGAACGCTCGGGGCTTGTACAGACTCTTCTTCAGCGCGTCGAACAAGTGCACATTCAGCTTCTTATTCTCGTAGATATCCTCGCGGACCTTGTCCAGGACAACAAGCTCCATGAACTTCTGGCAGACGATGGGCTTCGAAGCAGAAAAGATCCTCGTCGCTTGGTAAACAGCATTCGGCGTCCACTTTTGGGGTTCCGTAACCTCAATGATATCCTCCCAATGAGGCAGAGTCGGCAAAATTTTGAAGGGTTTTGGCAGGGGGCCGCTCTTGTATCGCGACAGAATAAATCCAACCCTATCAAACGGTTAGCAACAAACTTCCGGTGATCGCCAATCTTGGGCACATACTTTGTGTATACTTCAACGACCTTCGGGGGAAGCTCATATTCCTCATCACGAACGGGGACGCCCGCTGCTTTCCGGGCCTCGGCAGCCTCGTGCGCCGCAATCTTCTCCAGGATGAGTTCCGTCAAGTTGGTGCCACCGCCAGCCATCTCGTCGTCGGGACCCTTGCTACCCCAGCCGTGCTGGTTCAGCATTGCCGCAGGGTCATCTTCGGCCTCGGGCAAGAATTTGCGGTATGTCTCGAGATCTTCGGGGTCGATCTCGATCTCCTCAACAACTTCGTCCTCTTCACCCCAGGCCTCCTCATCGTCGTACGCCTGTTCGTCGCCAACATCGGTGCCGTATCTCGACTCGATTCCGAAAAGGTCGACAGTGGGTTTCGCGGCGGCTTGAGGCTTCGCAGAACCGTCCTCCTCGGCAAGCTCTCGGCCTAGCTTGAGAATGGTGCGACTCCGTGTCGCATCGACGAAGCCTTCGCCATTGTCTTCTTCGTCCGAGTTCTTGCCCTTCTTTCTCTTGGGCGCCTTGTTCTTCAAGGGACCCGTAGCAAGGATATCATCCTGCAGAGGGTTGTGTCTCCGCGACTGGCGGTCGGTCGGGGTGGTAGCCTTGCCCATTGTTGAGAATCACTCGGTGAGAAATGGTCGTGGCGGAGTACGACTGACAGGCGGGATAAGCGGTGCCTCTTTTTTTTTTTCCTGTGAGCCAGAAATTTTTGATTTTCCTTATCGATTGCCCCGCGCCTGATTAGTGCCCAGAACCCTGGACCGGTTTGTTACGGGGCTTGTCTGATCCTTTGTCCAATGAGGACCCCTGATGTTGACTTCATCGGCGAGCAGAGTCAATGCCCCGCCACCAAACCCCCACCAAAAAGCTTCTGCAAGTGACTCTGCGAGTCTGTCTTATAGTGAAATTGAGACCTCTCCTCCAAAGGCCCCAGGAAATTAGCATATTTCACGCAGTTCTGTCTTTTCGTTCACGATATACACTAAAAAAAACCGAAAAATGCCTACAGAATTGGAAGAGGTATGCTTACTCGATCAGAAATGCATAACTTGCACTTTGTTGGACTCGTCTCATGATGTGATAGCTCGTGGGCTTCATCGCTCATCCCAATGCGAATCTCAGAAAGGTAGCCATCGAGAACCTCGTAGGCTACTCACAGGCAGACCCGGCAATCTTCAAGACAGAGAACTTGACTCCCGTAAAGCACCTCAAGTTCCTAGTCAGAGATCACCCTGTAAGCACAAGCCTTTCATCACTTGCCTGATCCCGAGACTGACAAGAGATAGAAAATCGCAGAACATGCGTTGACAATTCTCGTCAACCTCACTGCCGAGAAAGACGTTCTTGAGAACGTGGCAACAGACCAGAAGTTCATCGATATTCTCTTGGACTTGGTAGTAGTATGTCAACTTTCTTAACTTGGCATAGAACCATGCAGTAATGGGACTATGCGATATGCTAACCCCGTTCCAATAGAAACCCGATGAGGCAAACGCCAATCTGATGGCAATGCTGCTTGCCAACTTGGCAAAGTGGGATGGACTCAACACTATTGTTACCAAGAAGCAAACACCGCCAGCGGAGCTCAAGTCCAACGACTTGGTTCTCAACCAGCTGGTCGATCTCTTCGTAAAGGAAAAGGGAGCCTACAACAAGGATGCCGACTACGACTACCTCGCCTACCTCTTTGCAGATCTCACCAAGCACGCTGAAGTACGCCAGCACTTTGTCACCCGGCAAGACTACGACGAGGTCATCCCCATCACCAAGCTCAAGGTCTTCACCGAGCACGAGTCTGAGATCCGGAGGAAGGGTGTCGCGAGCACGATCAAGAACGTCGCATTTGAGATCCAGTTCCACTCCACCTTCATGGACGAGGACGAGGTCGATATTCTCCCCTACATCCTCCTCCCCATCACTGGCAACGAGGAGTACGACGAGGACGACACCATGGGCATGCTGCCTGATCTGCAGCTCTTGCCCCCCGACAAGAAGCGTGACTCGGATCCCAAGATCATCCAAACGCACATCGAGACTCTTCTGCTTTTCACGACGACGAGAGGAGGCCGCGATCTGCTGAGAAGAGTCAGCGTGTACCCCATCATCCGCGAAAACCACTCCCGCGTCAACGACGAGGGCGTCAAGGATGCATGCGACCGTCTGGTGCAAGTACTGATGAGAGACGAGGAGCCAGAGGAGGGCGAGGGCGAGGCGGAGTCCAAGCCTAAGGAGCTTACCAATGGCTCAAAGGTCGAGGAGGTCGATGATGACGACGATGATGATGAGATTGTCGAAGTCTAGACGGGTAGTATCATGATGAGGTTTGCAAGTTCTTCCCTATGGTCATGGCTTATGTAGAAAGAGGGGATACCCAGGTCCAAAATCCAAAAGTTGGTATTTTTTTCATCCTATGAATATGTGACATGCCTGAGGAAGGAACCGACTCGGTGACTGACGCAGAAGGGTATATATTCAATCCTTTCGTTCGCCTCAGTAAATATCTTGGACATTTGGCTCGTCTATCTGGCCAACTGGGTTGAGGCGCATGACTACCTTCACCGCTGCCATTTATTGGCGCTGGGTTCGATCCTCATCCCGGGCGGCCTTCTTTTTGCTGTTTTTGTGCTTCCTGCTTCCTCGTTCTTTCCTTCATGACGTGAGGTGAGATATCATGACAGTATTTCAGAAAAAGTGGAGCACGCCGACGACATCCCAACGAGACCCAGAGTGGAGGAGGAGCAACACGGAGAAGTATTCCGTAAACTCGGGAAGATAGACGGTGCCGATTTGATCTGCATTGCTTTCGATATCTGACAGCCTTTCCTGCCGTTCATTTGGATAAATAGCGAAACTCAAAACCAGCCCTCACATACTCCCTAGCTTTCTCCAAGAACCCATCTACTCGACAGTGACAGTCACCTTACTCTTGTCTATCCCTCAAAGTCAGCCCTCCATTTCACCTCTATC